CGCGGTGCCGCTGCCCTCCCCTCCTCAGCTACGTTTGCACTTCTTTTTATGAACATTCATTGTTACGAGTGGTTGTTGTTTACACCGAATGCGCAGCGCTTTCTCTATTCGCTATTCATCAGCTCATTCCTACTAGTTTTCCACTGAACATATTGAAATTTCAAGTAATTATTCTAAAATTGCCATTAAGTGAGGAACTTGGATGTTAGCTTGCTCTTTGACTTGCTGTGGTTGGGCTCGTTCGTTCGTTCCAGTTCGTTTCGTTTCCAAAACTGTGAATCCTCATCTATCCTCTATTTCATTTTTTTTTCTTAAGGCGCAGTATTTCAGGATGACCGAAACCAGCGGAAGAGCATTTGCTCTGGCCATCTCCATATTGATGGTAGTGACGGGTTCGCTGAATACCATCTGCGCAAAATGGGCGGACAGTCTAAAAGCAGAAGGCACTGCTTTCAATCATCCTTTTCTACAGGTATTTTGCTCATTTTGTAAGGCGTTCATACTTCGCTATCGAATCGCTCGACTGGATCGCGCGATTGCGACCGGAGGCGCTCCACCGCCAGTCGTTTAACCGTCATAAAGAATCTCCAACGAACGCAACTGAAAGGGAAACATAAGCAGAATACAGCAATTAGGAAGTAACACGCTTTCCAGAACGTTTCAGAAAACGCAAGACATACGTGATATAAGAAAAACGGAGCAGTGCATGAACGCGGCCTAACTGAATTCTGTTGTTACGGCGGTTCACGGATTGGCGTGGAAGCCCAGTGTTTACCTTGCGTTCATGAACAAAAATAACTGGTTCCAGAGTAGGCTACGTTCATACTTTACGTGAGGACTTTTGAAAGTTCCGAGCGTGCGGCAGCGTTTTGAGCAACTAGGAAAGTATACTGGGGGGAGGGCAAAAAAATGTCATTTTTCTTCTTTGACTTCCGAGGCGCTATAAGTTACACTTAAGAGCATATTAAATACTATCATGACACTCCGCCACAGCCTTCTGGACGAGCGCCATCGAGAGATTCTGCACGCGACCGCGATGTGGTGCCTGAGATCAGCGAGATAGTCGATTTCTCCGCCACCGTAGACCACCCTATTGAACTCCGCCCGAACCAGGTAATTGAGGGGGTTTAGGTCAGGTGACACACTTAGATATTCCATCTTCTTCAGGTACTCAACGCCCTTCCATTCCAAGTAGGCGAGAGTTTCTCCAACGCCCTTCGATTCCATGTGGTGGCACCCAATGCTGTAGCAGTACAAAGTTTCCAAGAAGGTACGGGCGACGACATGTGGGGAGGATATTCTTCTCGAGCTGGATGTAACCGCCAGCGCTCACCTGTAGTCCGGGGTCCACGATGGTTTCTCCATTCTAGGTACGTCCGGTCCATACCATCACCCGCGCCTTGGCGACTGCGGTGAAGATGATGTCCTAGACCGTAGCGACGTTGTCGGAGCTGCTCGATGTTGGAGGTCATCCAGATCGAGAGTACTGGTCTCCAGGTAGCTATCCATGGGTGACTCCATACTAGAAGTTTCGCAGCTGTTTGGAGGTGACATGAATTCCAAAGGTCTTCTCCAGTCAGGCTGCGACTGGAGATGACTTCATATTTTGGTGTACATGAAGGTGATGGGCGAGAGCCAGCTCCTGCTTATAGAGGAACATCTTGGGTATCTTCCGCCCTGGTACTCGTATCCACGTCCTCTGTCTGGCTGCGAAAACTTTGCTGATATGTGACTCGGTCGAAGTGACTTCCCCCCCCCTGTATATATCAATCCAGCGTTTTGGCGTATGCCAGCGCTTCAGCGGCTCCTGCGAAACGCTCAGAACTATACACGAAACGTTTAAACGATGGCATACGCTCATGACGCTGACGCAAAGTATAACACAATTCGAAGAGTCACAGAGGTTCCTGAGCGACCTGTCACATCTTACTTTAATTTTAAGATTTCCAGGCAACGTGCATGTTTTTTGGTGAATTTCTATGCTTAGTCGCATTCTTTGTCATTTATGGTTATAAGAAACATCGTTGGAATGCAGTCGTTGGAATGCAGCTAACATTAGTGGTTTGTCTTTGCTTCAACTTTACATCTTTCCTTTTTGTCTTTTATACTCAACTGGATAAAGGTGGTTCATGGATTCATAGATTCCTTGGAGCTGATTTGAAGTAGGCCTCTTAGAACTGGCGGTAATTTCATTGTTAGAACTTCAGGTGAATCCGGTTCAGTAACCGATATCACGTCCGATTGCGAACCGCAACTACCCCAGTTCAATCCGTTTGTTTTCTTGCCGCCGGCTTGTTGTGATATTCTTGCAACGTCAATCATGTATATCGGTTTGAATCTTACAACGGCTAGCAGTTTCCAAATGTTGAGAGGTGAATTCTTTCGTACGGTACTTTTTCTTTCCCAACATTCTGTTTCCTAGTACTACAGTGACACATATTCATCACGTGAACCAATTGCTTCTAATTGATTTACTTTAGGAGCTGTTATTGTCTTCACTGGTCTGCTCTCCGTTGGATTGCTGGGAGCACGCATTCAGGGTTTCAAATGGATTGGAATGGTCTTTGTTATCTTGGGATTGGCCGTCGTGGGAGTGACTGACATTCTCTACGATGATGATCCTCTCGACGACAAGAACGCTATAATTACTGGTACTTCAGTCGAGCTATTTTTAAATTTAGTCTTGTCCAGTATTTCACAAATTTACTGTTAGGCTTTTCTCATGTTCTTTCCCAGGCAATAAATTGATGCTAGATTTTAAAAAGGCTTGACATTAAAAGTTGTTTCTTTGGTGTCAGAGTGCAAGGCGAGACCAGCCCAAAGCTCTCTGGGTGTCTTTTCTTCTGAAGTTTAGTTCATCCAGGAAAGGAATCACTAGTTTGATAGGGGAGGCTGGCGAGTAGGTTGAAGCTCATTGTACGCGTGCCCTCCAATCACCTAACGCCAGGTGTTTTTTAGCTTCCACGACATCCTAAGCTTTAGAAATTTGATCTGAGGTATTGCTTAGACGTTCCCCTTAACTTCGTGAGATTACTTTAAGTAGCTTACTATCAGTCTTCAGGTAATCTACTTATAATCATGGCACAAATCATTGTTGCGATTCAAATGGTTTATGAACAAAAGTACCTAAATCAGTACGATGTTCCAGCTTTGTTTGCTGTTGGACTGGAAGGTGTGTTGCAACTGAATCCTTGTTTTTTTTTCTGATTGCTACTTGGTGCGATTCTAGAGTAGCGCCTCAAAGGGCGTTAATCTCAATCGCTCAACTCGCGCGCTCTCCGCGCATCGAGCAGGTGGTTGCGAAATATGAGCGCACTATTTAAACTAGGGTTTCGAAGCTTATGTAGAGCCAGTTTTGAATAATTTTGAGAATCTACCTTCGCTTTTCATTCCAAATAATTTATGAGGTAGCTCACAGACAAGTTAGCATGCAAGCACGGTGCTAACGTATTTGGGGGGGGGGGACCACGCGGCGCGCGGCGAGTGATGACTCATCGGCTCTTCACTCATCGGCATACTTGAAGCGCGATTCTAGCAGTCAAATTAGAATAAAACAAACAAGGTTCACCGGGAACTTGCTGAGAAATCCCACGGAAGCCGAAAACAAATGTTTGATCTTTTGTAGTCAACAATAACAGTCAACAACAAACAGGCAACAAAATTTTGTAGTTGATTCAAAAATCTTCCAGCCCACAACTGTTTCTTCGGACTTTTTAGCGTTACTGTATTAATATAGCTAGGTCGGTGTTGTATCCGTGTCCTAAACACGAAATTACTTCTGTTTTGCAGGAGGGAGCAAAAGAGCAGATGAGTCATTGCACGCCGCGAGCTGCGTGGTCACCACCTCCCCCAAATTATTTAGGCACCCAAGAACTGTGTCTTTAGGTTTGTTCGGTATGACTATTCTTTCTGTATTGATGGTGCCGATGTATTACATACATGTTCCGCACACGTTTTCCACCAATCCTGAGGGAAGGCTCGAGGTGATATCTTCGCTTCATTTTATTTTTGTAAAAGATTTCCGTAAAATTATATCCATCGTCACTACGAATAGTTTTAAGGACGTCTTCTTCGCATGGAAGGAAATCTGTGAACAACCTTGGATTGCTGTTGCCTTAGGTGGAACAATCATCAGGTACAATACCATGAAATATAGAACTCTCATTTCGCTTATCCCGGAATACATCTAGTTAATGGTTGTTTTCAGTATTGCTTTCTTTAATTTCGCCGGTGTTTCTGTCACCAAAGAGCTGTCGGCCACAACTCGAATGGTTCTCGATAGTGTCAGAACACTACTCATTTGGGCATTCAGCATTCCATTCTTTGGTGAACAGTTCATTCCCCTTCAGGTATGTCATCCTAGCGAAGTCTTCATATTGCGAAGGCTAGGGTATTTTATACAATTTTTCTTCTTTTATTCATTTCAGGAATTAAAACGTGGTTCTTTTCAGTTTTCAAAGTCATGCCAGAATTTATAACGGTGTAGAGTCTGATTTTTTCGCCTCTATCGTTCATGAGTTCCTCATTTTCAGCTCCTCGGCTTTGGGCTGCTTATTCTTGGCATGTTCGTCTACAATGATATACTTATCGGCCCATGGTTCCGACGCCAAGTACTGCCTAACATGGGAGATTCGAACTTGTGCACCAGGTAGGTTTTTAGTAGTTAGGAAAAGAATTCATTGCACTTCCTGTTGCTGTCAACGGTGTCGTGAGTGTTGGGCGGCCATATGATCTTTCGTTGGCCGTAATTATCTCACCGTAAGCGGTCACAGCAGCACTAAAATTATATTTTTGAACCTACAAGAGAATGCGTTCATACTTCGCGTCAGCCTTTTGAGCGTACGCCAGCGTTCCAGCGCTCGAAACGCTGGCGCAAAGTGTGAACGGATGTCAGTGAAACCGTATACCTCTTTAGCTGTCTTTGTCTCATCAGTCTTTACAGACGTTCATTATGGAGGCAGAACTGTGTGTTTCTTTAGCTTTGTTATGGTCTTTTTTTCAGGTGCTGGTTCTCCATATGCGGTGCTGATTTGGAAGAGGCAGACCGAGAAAGTTTGCTAAACGAGGATGCATAATTTATTGTCAAAAGCAGGTGATTTTCTGAGCTTCCCTGTATCTGTTCATTCAAAAACAATCTCGCAGAATCAATTGTGTGATGGTGGTTGTCTATTCTGTGTTATGCCAATCCCTTTCGTCGATGTGTGGTGCTTTTTAATGTGATGTTTCTTTCTTATCCCAAGTAATCACAACATTATTAATTGCAGTCCTGAAAAAATCTCAGAGAAAAAGTTATTTGTTTTCGTCTTAGATTTGATAATTTCTACGGCCATCTTTTGTTCATCCATCGAGATTCTAAATGTTTTGGAGTACAAGTATTTGTTTTTTTCATATAGTTGTTCTTGTACTGTATCATGAACACTTATGCTGCTTTTTATGGTATTTGTATTAATATTTATATGACGAGTTTTTTTTGCGATATTTTGCGGACGTGTTTGTTGCGTGATACTTTGCACCGTTTATTATGTGTTCTTTCTAAATGTTATAAGGATTGTTGCAATATTTTGACTATAGTTTTATTCTTCACATATGGGCGCTAACTATTTTATGGATACACACTATTCGGGCGAATAAACATGGGTTTTATTGGCACTTGAATAAAACTGATCAAGGTCTCTTTTCAGACAGGTTTTCCCGTGAATTGGATTTTCGTGGACTAGAGCAGTCGGATGATGACGTTGTATGGGCAGTATCCTTCTGTCGCCTAGCCTTTGTCAGCCGAGCTGCGACTAAGGGGTAGTGGCCCTTGGATTACAGAAAATCAGGGTGCACACCGTACTACCCAAAAATGCGCATGAAATGACTCGTGTGCAGCGCGAGATCGCGTGTCCGACCCAGGCTCGGCTCGCGGACTGCGGTGCCCTGGACGCGCTCAGGTACCTACGTGGGGGGGGGGGGCTCAAGCAGCTTGGTTACGTGACATCTTGAATTTTTGTGTACGGTCCTGTTACGAAACCCTGTGGCGCAGACGGATAGAGGGCAGCTGCTGCCAGGGCACCCAGGAAACGGGATTTTTCGGGGAGAGAGGACCCAGGGGTGCCTGGGCTACTTGTGGTCGGGTGTGCGCTTTAGTTTGAGGTGACCTTTGCATGCTTGGCAGTGGGATAGCCCCGCTTAATTGGTTACGCTGACTGCTGACCTCTCACTGCTAGACCCATTTCAGACAGAATAACGAGAATTGAATAAAAAAACTTTATTACTTGGTTTATTAAAACACCAGTTTGGCTGGCGCACACTACTGCGTTCCTGACGTGATAAAACAATGCGAGATGATTTACCATGTAAACCACGATTAA